GGGAACCTTCTTCACAAGCAGCTGCTACTTACTCCCCGGCAGTCTCTTCTGTTCAGCTGGGTTTTGGAAGTGACACTGTTCACCGCAGTTGGAAGCAGCAGGAGAAAGAAGTCCCACAGCTTTTGTCTTCACCCCTCGCTAATGGATAATGTCTCCTAGCTGTGGCATATGGACACCTGCAGCCTCCCAGGACTAAGCGTGCCTTTCAGCCGAAGGTTTGCAGATTCTCTGCCCTCCAGCAGTGGCGCAGCTTGAGAGTTCAGATTTTCCTACACACGACTCCCACAGTCAAGGTATTTGAATGTGTAGCCCTTGTAGGGGGGGCCCCAGGTAGGGACAAAGTGTGCTACTTCGTACCTGCAAATATCCAGGGAGAGTCCTGCAAACAAAATTAAATGTTACAACTAAAATGCTGTGTTGAACACACACAGGAGTTTCATCACTTGGACAGCCCAAGGTTCATGCAGCAGTCGCCCCACTAGCAAGAGCCACAGTTATATCAGAAGGGAGTTTCCTTCCAGAAAGTCCTAAGAACACAGACAAGAGGAGATCTGGAGATACCACAGACCCCACCAGCAGCCATTCGGACCAAATACATTTTCTAGTGTTTAATGAAGGTAAAAGTACTAGGTGGCCAGTGGGTGGCTCATTGGCAAGGTTATTGTCCTTGTTGCAGTGAGAGGTTCTGGACTCTCTTCTGTGGCCCAATCCTTAACGTTCGTGTGACAACACCAAAGCTCCTAATGCAGCGCCTACAAGAGAGCCATGTTCCACCTATGAGTAGCAACCAGTCATTGTGAACAAATACCTCAGATTTAGAAACAAGCTGTTGGAGGAGACTTTAGAGAAACTAGTCATTGAGGATGCAGAGGCCTCCACCTTGTTGGCAGAACCGGTAAATCAAATCACTGCTCAAAGGAAATTCAGGTTGGAGATATTAAGAAGAACCTATTTATGAGGCTGGTCAAGCATTGGACCAGGCACCTAGAGAGGCTGTGGAGTATCCACCCTTGGGAGTTTTGAAAGAGAGGTTGGACAAATACTTCTCTAGAGTGGGTAAGACGGGGATGATCCTGGCCTGAGCAGCGGGCTGGAGTAGATGACCACCTGAGATCCCTTTGAGCCTGAGAAGCTTCTCACAAAAGCCATATACATTTTTTCAATATTTACACAAAATCCACAGACTAGCAAAGGTTAAATGACCTCTTGTATCTAAAGGTCATTAGACCTCTTGTGTCTGAACCCTGTACACTATTTTTTCTTCCCATGTACTCTGCACCCACAATCCTAAATAAATAAATAAATAAATGGTGGTGTCACGCATTGGAAAACATACCTATTAGTGCCCTGTCCAGAGGAAAAGATGCATTCACAACTGACCAACTGCTGGAAAAGATTCATAGCTTGTTCAAAACCAAGAAGAGCTTTTGGACCCAATACCAGAGGATTATTGGTTCAGCAGTCAGTAATGGCATTATGCTACTTCTACGCCCATTGTTAAATGTGGCAAAGAGCCGAAGAGTCATTGTGTTGGTCATTTCCTGGCACTTTGTAACGCTGGTATAATGACTCAGGCCAAAGCCTGACAGATTTTTGTCTCAAAATACAACCTGAGCCTACAGAACCACTTCCCTGACGCCATGCGAAAGGTGGTGTTGGTCTACATTCATATCTGGTCATTTGGTGACCACGTGATATAGATAACACAGAAAAAGCCAGCACAATTCTTACCCTAGGCCAGTGATTATCAACCTTGTCAGCCTTAAGCTGCCCCTGGGAAAATCCCAGCTCTTTTTTTTTTTTTTTTTTTGACTATGTAAAAATAATAGATCGCTTCTTCTGTTGCAGAGAACTCAGGAAGGCCACAACAGGTCAGAGTGCTTTTGACACTATGAATTCCAGTGTGAAATCTCTGGGTTTGTCTTGTGAATCATGCATAGGATCTCATGGCACTCCAGCATGCCAAGATGTCAGAGACTCACTGTCTTAGACCCTTATACTTGCTACAGCTCAGGAAGGTTCACAAAGCAGTATATGCGCTTTGGAAGACAAATTTCCATATTAGTCCTTATTGCAAGGCTCCTGTACTAGGAGGAGGGAAATGTCCGTTTCTGCCAATTATACTTCTGTAGTAATAATTAAAACTCCACTTCGCCTTTCCCCTCTCCCTCTGTGAGTCAGCGCTCGCTGCTTCCTATTAGTCAGGGATGAGGGGAGCAGCTGTGCTGCAGAATGAGAAATTTCTTACCTGATCATTTTCTTCTGTTAGCAGCTTCTCTCCTCGTTCAGCTCACCCTGGTGTTCTGGTAAATGACCGGACTGTCGCAATTGAACTGTTCTCCTACCAGCAGCCCTAGATCTATAATTACTTGGACATTATAATTATGTGTACCAAGTTGTTGTCTGAATGCCAATAATTGCTTGCTGGAGTAGAACTGCAGAGTTGGAAGAACTTCTCCGGTGGCCTGTGCTGAAATGTGCTGACGGCAAGTCCTGGCAG